TTGTGCTTAAATGTAAGCACACAAAAACACACAGGAAAAATTTTTTACATAGAAGTGCTGATCAAATATTCTTTTCTCAGTCTTTTTCTCACCAAGGAGTCCTATCCAACATCATACTTGAGAAGCTGCCAAAGAGGGTTAGGATGCCAATACATGATATCTGTGAGTGGTCGTAACTCTCAAGCACAGTGGAGACTCAGTGGCCAATGACTAGGAGATGCTTGAACTTAGAATCCTGCCATTTAGTTGGGGTTCTTTGTTTAGTTGTAATCCACGATTTCTGGGTGCTTTCTGAAAGCAGCTCTGACATTGTTTGAATTCTCCTTACTCTGGAAATGCTGTCACTCCCTCTAAGACTTGGAGCAGTTTTTCCTGAATTGTACTTGTGACAGGAACTGGAAATAAATATAAAGGGTAGAAGTGAAATTATTAACATTCCGAGGTGGTTCTAGATAGGTTATGGATAGAGATGTACTGAGAGAGTAGATTCTTAGGTACAGCTTGAAAATTCTTATTTCAGGATAAATTTCCAAGTAGAAAGTACCCTGAAGCATATTTGCTAAAATATTCTCCTAAAATAGTTAACTCTGATATGTTGTTTATTGTAGAACAGCTGCACAGACAGTAAAACTGTACTCTCAAAATTGAAGTCAGACCATCACTTTCATGGAGGGATTAACATAGACCAAAAAATGCAGCTAATTTATAGCAGCATGTCAACAATGTCTCTTTCTCAAGAGAAATTGTATCCAGGTTTGAAACAGAACCGGATAAGACTATTTCCTCAATCAAGGAATGCTCTGACATTTTACTTGCTTTGGTATCATGCCAATAATTTTAATTCTAACATAAATTAAGACATTTCCAACCAAGGACAGGACAAAAAGTGTTCCATGGTCACATTAGTCACTGCTTGTGCCTGTACTGATCAAGTTAAACACCATCCAGGGGATAAACCAAGTGTTTAATAGCTGTTAAATGCAGAGGAATAAACAACTAAATGATGCAGGAGGAAGCGCTGAAGAAGTCCACATGACTCCTAATATCTGGAGGCACTGTGCCTAAATATGACCACACCAGCTCGACCTGGGTGGGAAAGTGCAACCTGCGCCAGTCCTTCCCACGTACATAGACAGCACTCACTCAATCAGACTGATTCCCCAAATTGACAAAATAATTCTGTTTGTGACAAGAAATTTTAGAGATATTTACAAACATAACAATAGAAAAGCAATATCTTCATCAACATGTTAAAGAAAAAACAGAAACAATGTTAGTTAACATATTTGACCAAATTGGAGTGGTGGGGGCTGACACACTATATCCATTGAACTGATTAGATTATTGGCAATCTTAAGAATTATCCTATTTTAAAATATTAAACTAGGATCAGGAGGCTAGCTGTTTCATTTCAGATGGTCTTTGAAGCTAACTA